TCAATTTATTGTTGTCCATATTTACCCTCACTTTGCATTGCGGTGGGAAAATGTATTGTTTGGATTCACTAAACATGACAAAAAAATTATATTCAGAATATTATGTGATAAATGTACTTTTAATTTTATTTGCACAAGTCAAAATTCTTAAAAAAGAAACCAAGCTTTTTGGAGCTAACATTAAGCACTATGTTCTTTCAATATCTGAGTGTAAAAACAAAAAAGCTGTTAAATCATATGACCTCTGTAAGCTTTACAAGATATTTATTTAAATTGTTCTTTTGCTTTTGTTAAAATTATACTTTCCTTTCCATAACCCTTGACCTCCCTGGTCTATTTGATATGGACTTTACTGATGTACAGAAAATGTTGTTTTCCTGCTGTATATCCTAATTTTGAATAAAGTTTTGGAGAAAAGAAAAAGCCATTAGCACAGTATTAGACTGGCTACAATACATGACATTCACTTTGCTTTATTTAAATTGAAAATTACATTTACAAGATGACCAAGAAGACCAATTTAAACATTTCAAACTGAAGTATACAAGGTATTGATTATATACAATCAGAATTGTGTATTTCGTCTTTTTAAAGCTATTATTAGACAATGTTTTAAAAAATGATATGACAAAATTTACCTTTACTTCATTCCTTAACACAGCTATAATTTCATCTTTCACCTTTAAAACAGTCATGGAAATAGGCCAAAATTAATTTGCTCAGACGATGTGTCTGTTTTTTCTACATATCACACTATACATACAGTACGATTTTTCAGTGTTTCCATTCACACTCAACTGCAGCCTGACCACCGAAAGGAAAGCTACTGATCAAAGCAGACAATTTTTTGAATGAATTACCCCTTTCAAATATTTAAATCTTCAATTTTTCCCATTCTGTTCAGTAAATTAAGTTATAACTAAAGTTCAGGAACAAGACTACACCTCTCTCTCTCACTATTCCAACTGCCAATGCTTCACTCATTTCATCCACATCTTTAAAAGTTATTTATAATGTTAGCTCACCTTGACATGGATTATGAGTTGGTTCTCAGCCCCTCAGACTATGATCCACACCATTATCACTCTGTTGTCTCCTAACCTTCTCCGTCCACTCCCACATGGCCAGCCACTCATCCACAGCAACCTCGCTCCGTAGTCCAAGTTCCTCAGCACAGCATTGTCCCTTATTTTTCATCACGCAGCTCCACCCTGACTCCACCAAACATACACAGAAGCCGTTGCTGCCATCACCGATTTCCGGGAGAAATCCGCTCTTCCAGACTCCCAACATCCGACCGCTTGGTCCCTCGATTCTCAGTCCGCAGCCTCACACTGGCCAACCTGCAGCCCCTGATTCTGGCTCCTTCCAAAACCACAACCATCTCCAACTAGATGGTCACCCGACCTTCAGCATGCACTCAAGGAAACGCAAATTTTCTGTTCCTATTGCACCCCCATCCATCCCGCTCCACCCATCAGCAATCCCATGACCACTAGCAATTTCACCTTGGCTTCCGCTGCCCACCCACTTTCAGCCGTGTGCTCCCATTTCGCCTTCTCTTAGACAACAAATCCTCTCAGGTACTTAAATTGACCTTGCACTCCTGTCCCAGCCATCCTTTACACCACCACCACCCCAGGGAGCTCTTAACACCCCCATGGCACGACTCAGCTTAGACATCCCTCCCCTTCACGCTCTAGGGAACTCACAGCCGTAGAATTGGCTCAGCATCTTACCATCTGTTCAGTTTTCCCCAACCGCAGGGCTGAGTTGTACGACTACCTCTCCATCATCTTGGATTTGGCTCTGTAGTTCAGCGTCACAAGTTTTTTCACATATAATGTCCTTTTTGCATCCGAGGCTGCAGGCTGCCTCCCACCAACATTGCACAGCCACGTGAGCCAGAGCTCATTCTCGCTTAGTCCAGCAACACAATTTTTCAGGAATCATAAAGCAATATATGCCTCTACAGACATGCTGGGTTTCTAGCTACTCCGGCCACAACCCAAACCAACCCTCTCCATCCCTACCTTCTCATCCCCTTCATCCCTCCCCCTTGACCCCTCCATCCGATCCTTCTTTATATAATAAACTACTTCTTAGAGCTCACAACTGGTGGGGTCTTTAGTTAATGGAATGATTTTTATACCACTCCTTTCTCTCTCACTAATCCAACCACCCGTGCCTCTCTAATCCAGTTACCTGCACATACTTCTCTCTAATTTGTCTCAGTTCTCACATTCGTCCCCCCAAACTCCATTTCTCTCTTCTCTCAATGGACAGCACTGTGGCCTGAAACAAGAACTACCTGGTTTAAGACCTCGGTCATCCCAGGCCTTTCTGTGACCTTTTTGCATGTTCTCCCTACGTTTGCGTGGGTTTCCCCCAGGATCTCCGAAATCCTCCAACCACAACGTTATAATTAATAATAATTTTTTAAATTTGAATTTATTTATTTTTTATTTGAATATTCCTCCATAGCTCTGTTCATTTTGGCATAAACCAGATACAACTTCATTTATGTACCGTTGTACCCATTTGTAAAACAAACATTACAAAGTCCCCAACACAGAGTGACTTAAGCTTAAGCTCTGTTAAACTGTTTTTTGGTTACTTTTCTGCAACCACCTCTTCACATTCAAGTCTGTCTCCTGATGTTTGAGTCTGACTGTAGTTTCTGATGTGCTCTGTGTTACAGTGATTCAGGGTCAGTATGGCTGGGGAGTGACTTACACCTCTACTCAGATCTGTGCCTTAAAAGGATCAACAGTGGAAATAAGCTGCACCCTCACATACCCATCCAGAAGAAATTACCGTGTTACTACAGTTGAGGAAACATTCTGGTTTACTAAACTGCAAGATAAAGAACCTGTGGATCTGAAAACAGACTCAAGATACGCAGGTCGTTTGCAGTACAGTTGTTCTAACAACATCTGCACTCTGAGAATCACAGACCTGAGAGAGAGCGACTCAGCTGAGTACAAGTTCATGTTCATAACAAACCAGCCAGATCGAAGATATACTGGTTCACCTGGAGTCACTTTGTCTGTCAGAGGTAACATTTTCATTCATATGTTATATTTTCAGCATCTATGTACCGATAATTTAAATGTGTTGTGTGTATATTTTTGAATGTGGATGTTGACAGTTTTGTCTAAAATAACATTCCTGTTCCTTCACAGATCCAGGTCTCCAAGTGCAGGTGAGCAGATCATTCTATTCCACTAAGTCAGAGCTGAAGTGTCACAGCAGCTGTCATCTACCTGATCATCTTTCCTACGTCTGGATCAAGAATGGACAGAAAATTGAGGAAGAAGCACCTTCTTATTCAGACTACTTTTATCCTGAGGACAGCTATTCCTGTGCCCTTAAAGGACATTTTCCTTCTCCATCAGTGTGTGAGTTCACTCCACAATCTTCTAATAATGTGACGCTGTTTTGAACATTTTAGCTGATGTTCTTTATCATGACTTCATGTATCTTTTAAAATAAAATGAATGTGCTGAATAGTGATCCTGATGGGAAATAATTGTTTGTGTGATTAACTGATTACATGATTGTCATAATGTTCTATTGTTTATATCTCTGTGTGTGATTCAGTTCCACATAAAGAACAAATATTTCTGTTTTTTCTTCCCAGATCTCCAGGTTCAGGTGATCAGATCAACAGTCTACAAGAATTATACTGAGGCAGAGCTGCTTTGTCACAGCAGTTTTAATGGACTGTTTCAGCGGTGTTAAAATACAAATTAAAATTTTCACAGTATTATAGTCTTCTAGATGATAATATAAACACAGCAGCATTATTTATAGAAATTAAAAAAATACCACCATAGAAATCAGTATTCAGATACATGCTGTCAGGGACATGCACAGACATTTTGGTGGGCGGGGCCTCAAGTTAAAAAAGGGAACTTCTCATAATTATTTATTAAATTATTTTTTAAACCAAACATTAAATATATTAACACAACTCTGACTTTCTTACCAAGTTATTTTAAATTCCTCACACTCATGCAATTGTTTCTAGAAAATAATCAGTTCAAACAGAGACCGTGGTCTTCTTTAGTATTCATGTACGCACACACACACACACACACACACACACACACACACACACACACACAATAACTGATGGTGTCATAGACTTAGTTTCACATTTGAGGGAGGGCTGTCTGTATCATGTAAAGATCTATCAGCATACAACAAACTAATAGAATGGATAGTTATTAGATGAGGAGTCTACGATCAAAATGATGAAGTTACTGCTTAAGTCAGGAAACTTTCTGGCAGCTGCTCAAGCCCCTTTTAATGTCTATGTGTGCACGTGCCTGCATGTTGTGATATAACTCATAACTCTTATGTCAAATTTCAGTGATTCAGGAATATTAGACGTATAACATTTTTCATTAAGACAGGATGCATATTGTTAGTCTGTAACTTTAAATTTTTCATGGTAAAGCTTTAAAATGGAGTTACCAGTCTCTGAAGATTTGTTGCCGACAGACTCGACAGACAGACGGTCTTTAGTAGTGGGAAATCTGAAACACATAAGTGCTGCTACGACCACTGACAAATTGTGTTTTTGAAAATACCAAATGATTAAAGGCTTGCTATTGGCTGTCAGTTTCAACAAACAGGATTCAGACCTGGGACAGATCCAGAATCAGCACTATGGACATCCACTTTGTCAAATACTAGAGAATCAAAAAGACACAAACAGAGAAATTTTATGAAAATAGTCAATCGTCTATAACATAGTCTAGCATTTCAGTAATTCATGTTTATACCTTCTACAGATGCTCCAAAGCTTCCCTCTGTGTCAGTGAGTCCCTCTGCTGAGATAGTGGAGGGCAGTTCAGTGACTCTGACCTGCAGCAGTGATGCTAACCCAGCAGCTAATTATACCTGGTACAAGGAGAATGAAGATTCACCAAAAGCATCAGGACAGAACTTCACCATCACTGACTTCAGAGCTGAACACAGTGGGAATATTACTGTGAAGCCCAGAACAGAAGAGGACGTCATAACTCCACCTTACATCTGATTGTTGTGGCAGGTACGTTTTTACCTGGCTGATTAACAGAAGACGATCTCCTGGCAAAGTGATGAACAAATTCTGCTAATGAGGTCCAGCACAGTTTATCTAATAACTGTCTATCTCCATTTCTAGAGAAATCATCAGTGATAATAAATATCATCAGGTTGACTCTGGTGGTTGTGACGCCGATTGCTCTGCTTTTTTTCTGTCTGTGGATGAGGTGAAATAAGAATATAAGAATCAACCAGTTCAATCACTGATCTTTTACTTTGAATATTTTCTTTCATAGTTTTGAGTTATAGATTAAGAGGAACAAACATCAAACAAACATCAAACTCGAAGCTAAGTAAATCACAGCATGTACAGTCTATATTTAAACAGTGAAATCAAACAGAAGCCCAGCTCTATCACAGTTTGCTAGTGTTGCAGTGGCTGAATAAACAACTCTGCAGTTTGATCATCATTTCAGTTTCCTCTCACTGCTGCAGAGGGCGACAGTGTACAGAAAGTTTTGGATTTATGTTTATTATTCAGAAAGAAAAGTTTGTAATTATCATTAATGAATAAAAATAAAATGTAAATCTTTTTTTTGCTCTGACTTATTTCTTACAAATATCCTAAAATCAGGATCATTTCTTGGTTGAGAAATTGTATAAAATGCTTGTGCACCTCAGCCTAAAATGAGGTTCTGGGAAAGTTAGGACAATTTTCTAGTCTGCAAAGGTTTATAAATACAGACCCTGTCCCATCATAGCAATAATATGTCTTTCATAGAGATTGAAGAGATTTATCTCTATCCTGTGTCTTCACAGTATAATGAAATGTGTTGCTTTCATAGTAAAGTCTTGCTGGCAGCAGCCAAAGCAACACATCTCTCTGTCTCTCACTTTAAGATGTACTTTTACACTTTTTTGTGATCAGCAACATTATTAGACATGGAAAACTTGTCTGTTAAACTATTGGTGCATTGACCACAATGAAGTGACATCCATTATTTTCTGAGATTTACTGTGTAGTTTTCAAGAATAGCATGGCTATAAGATAGATAAGATTATTTATCTGGAGGGAAATTGTTGTGCAGCAGCTGCAATGCAAAATAGGAACAAATGCAAATATAAAATAATAAATAAAATATCAATAATGTGCAATTCCAAAATACCCAACATATCAGGTGACCTGTAGGGATCACACTTGGTGACATATACAGTGAGGAAAATAAGTATTTGAACACCCTGCTATTTTGCAAGTTCTCCCACTTAGAAATCATGGAGGGGTCTGAAATTGTCATCGTAGGTGCATGTCCACTGTGAGAGACATAATCTAAAAAAAAAAAAATCACAATGTATGATTTTTTAACTATTTATTTGTATGATACAGCTGCAAATAAGTATTTGAACACCTGAGAAAATCAATGTTAATATTTGGTGCAGTAGCCTTTGTTTGCAATTACAGAGGTCAAACGTTTCCTGTAGTTTTTCACCAGGTTTGCACACACTGCAGGAGGGATTTTGGCCCACTCCTCCACAGATCTTCTCTAGATCAATCAGGTTTCTGGGCTGTCGCTGAGAAACACAGAGTTTGAGCTCCCTCCAAAGATTCTCTATTGGGTTTAGGTCTGGAGACTGGCTAGGCCACGCCAGAACCTTGATATGCTTCTTACAGAGCCACTCCTTGGTTATCCTGGCTGTGTGCTTCGGGTCATTGTCATGTTGGAAGACCCGGCCTCGACCCATCTTCAATGCTCTAACTGAGGGAAGGAGGTTGTTCCTCAAAATCTCGCAATACATGGCCCCGGTCATCCTCTCCTTAATACAGTGCAGTCACCCTGTCCCATGTGCAGAAAAACACCCCCAAAGCATGATGCTACCACCCCCACGCTTCACAGTAGGGATGCTGTTCTTGGGATGGTGCTCATCATTCTTCTTCCTCCAAACACTGTTAGTGGAATTATGACCAAAAAGATCTATTTTGGTCTCATCTGACCACATGACTTTCTCCCATGACTCCTCTGGATCATCCAAATAGTCATTGGCAAACTGAAGACGGGCCTTGACATGTGCTGGTTTAAGCAGGGGAACCTTCCGTGCCATGCGTGATTTCAAACCATGACGTCTTAGTGTATTACCAACAGTAACCTTGGAAACGGTGGTCCCAGCTCTTTTCAGGTCATTGACCAGCTCCTCCCGTGTAGTTCTGGGCTGATTTCTCACCTTTCTTAGGATCATTGAGACCCCACGAGGTGAGATCTTGCATGGAGCCCCAGTCCGAGGGAGAATGACAGTCATGTTTAGCTTCTTCCATTTTCTAATGATTGCTCCAACAGTGGACTTTTTTTCACCAAGCTGCTTGGCAATTTCCCCGTAGCCCTTTCCAGCCTTGTGGAGATGTACAATTTTGTCTCTAGTGTCTTTGGACAGCTCTTTGGTCTTGGCCATGTTAGTAGTTGGATTCTTACTGATTGTATGGGGTGGACAGGTGTCTTTATGCAGCTAACGACCTCAAACAGGTGCATCTAATTTAGGATAATAAATGGAGTGGAGGTGGACATTTTGAAGGCAGACTAACAGGTCTTTGAGAGTCAGAATTCTAGCTGATAGACACGTGTTCAAATACTTACAGTGGGTACGGAAAGTATTCAGACCCCTTTAAATTTTTCACTCTTTGTTTCATTTCAGCCATTTTCCAAAAATCAAAAAAGTTCATTTTATTTCTCAGTAATGTACACTCAGCACCCCATCTTGACAGAAAAAAACAGAAATGTAGAAATTTTTGCAAATTTATTAAAAAAGAAAAACTGAAATATCACATGGTCATAAGTATTCAGACCCTTTGCTCAGTATTTAGTAGAAGCACCCTTTTGATCTAATACAGCCATGAGTCGTTTTGGGAAAGATGCAACAAGTTTTTCACATCTGGATTTGGGTATCCTCTGCCATTCCTCCTTGCAGATCCTCTCCAGTTCTGTCAGGTTGGATGGTAAACGTTGGTGGACAGCCATTTTCAGGTCTCTCCAGAGATGCTCAATTGGGTTTAAGTCAGGGCTCTGGCTGGGCCATTCAAGAACAGCCACGGAGTTGTTGTGAAGCCACTCCTTCGTTATTTTAGCGGTGTGCTTAGGGTCATTGTCTTGTTGGAAGGTAAACCTTCGGCCCAGTCTGAGGTCCAGAGCACTCTGGAAAAGGTTTTCGTCCAGGATATCCCTGTACTTGGCCGCATTCATCTTTCCCTCGATTGCAACCAGTCGTCCTGTCCCTGCAGCTGAAAAACACCCCCACAGCATGATGCTGCCACCACCATGCTTCACTGTTGAGACTGTATTGGACAGGTGATGAGCAGTGCCTGGTTTTCTCCACACATACCGCTTAGAATTAAGGCCAAAAAGTTCTATCTTGGTCTCATCAGACCAGAGGATCTTATTTATCACCATCTTGGAGTCCTTCAGGTGTTTTTTAGCAAACTCCATGCGGGCTTTCATGTGTCTTGCACTGAGGAGAAGCTTCCGTCGGGCCACTCTGCCATAAAGCCCCGACTGGTGGATTGCTGCAGTGATGGTTGACTTACTACAACTTTCTCCCATCTCCCAACTGCATCTCTGGAGCTCAGCCACAGTGACCTTTGGGTTCTTCTTTACCTCTCTCACCAAGGCTCTTCTCCCCCGATAGCTCAGTTTGGCCGGACGGCCAGCTCTAGGAAGGGTTCTGGTCGTCCCAAACGTCTTCCATTTGAGGATTATGGAGGCCACTGTGCTCTTAGGAATCTTAAGTGCAGCAGAAATTTTTTTGTAACCTTGGCCAGATCTGTGCCTTGCCAAATTCTGTCTCTGAGCTCTTCAGGCAGTTCCTTTGACCTCATGATTCTCATTTGCTCTGACATGCACTGTGAGCTGTAAGGTCTTATATAGACAGGTGTGTGGCTTTCCTAATCAAGTCCAATCAGTATAATCAAACACAGCTGGACTCAAATGAAGGTGTAGAACCATCTCATGGATGATCAGAAGAAATAGACAGCACCTGAGTTAAATATGAGTGTCACGGCAAAGGGTCTGAATACTTATGACCATGTGATATTTCAGTTTTTCTTTTTTAAAAATTTCTACATTTCTGTATTTTTCTGTCAAGATGGGGTGCTGAGTGTACATTACTGAGAAATAAAATGAACTTGATTTTTGGAAAATGGCTGCAATGAAACCAAGAGTGAAAAATTTAAAGGGGTCTGAATACTTTCCGTACCCACTGTATTTGCAGCTGTATCACACAAATAAAAAGTTAAAAAATCATACATTGTGATTTCTGGATTATTTTATTTTTTAGATTATGTCTCTCACAGTGGACATGCACCTACGATGACAATTTCAGACCCCTCCATGATTTCTAAGTGGGAGAACTTGCAAAATAGCAGGGTGATCAAATACTTATTTTCCTCACTGTATATATATGAGAGAGAGAGAGATGTGTGTAGGCTATGTATTGTACGTACTATATGGACATAGGCCTATTTCAGGGGGGCTGAAGCTATACCCTACAACAAAGGGTCTGAAAATGAGTTTTTTATAAGAAAATAAGTTTTTTTTGTCTGCCTTGAGGCATCATTTAATGTTAATAATGTAATTTAATGTTTGATATATTTATGTATGCATGCACAAAGGACTCAAGTCTTTTATATCTCCAACTTACTAAACAACCGGGTGATTAAATTGAAGATGCACAATCAAAATATATCATTACTCTTTATGTCAGCCACGATAAGAAAGAAGCACATTAGACAGGCACAGAGTAAAATAAGTTGCTTGATGAGCAGTGGACAAGAAGTCACTTTATAATAATTCAACAGAAAGATAATTTGGGTGAAGTCATGGCATTAAATAATATCATATAACGTTCACCAAAGAGTAGGCTATTATCCAGCTCAATTCAAAGCCCAACGTTCAACCACCAGTGAATGAGTCCTTATCCCACTTCCAATCTCCTCAAGAGTCCACAGCTCAAAGAAACCCTCCACTTCCCAGCAAGGAAACAAAAAATACTGAGTTTCAATTCAAAAGTTGGCCGACGAAAAAAAAAAGTGCCGCCTCTAGTGTCTAATAGACAAGCTGAGTGAACACCAGAGTTACTTTCCGTAGTTCGGCCGCTGCTGCTGGTAAGCAGCGCACTGGCCGGCACTCAGGACGCACTGGCTGTCACTCAGGACGCACTGGCCGGCACTCAGGACGCACTGGCTGGCACTCAGGACTCACTGGTTGGCACTCAGGACGCACTGGCTGTCACTCAGGACGCACTGGCTGTCACTCAGGACGCACTGGCTGGTATTCAGGACGCACTGGTTGGCATTCAGGACGCACTGGTTGTCACTCAGGACGCACTGGTTGGCACTCAGGACGCACTGGCTGGCACTCAGGACGCACTGGCTGGCACTCAGGACGCACTGGTTGGCACTCAGGACGCACTGGTTGGCATTCAGGACGCACTGGTTGTCACTCAGGACTCACTGGTTGGCACTCAGGACGCACTGGCTGGCACTCAGGACGCACTGGCTGGCACTCAGGACGCACTGGCTGGCACTCAGGACGCACTGGCTGTCACTCAGGA